TGTCAGGGCGGCTAGGATCTGGAACCAACTTCCAAGAGAAGTGGTGCTGGCTCCTACCCTGGGGGTCTTTAAGAGGAGGCTAGATGTACACCTTGCTGGGGTCGTTTGACCCCAGTACTCTTTCCTGCCATGGCAGGGGGTCAGACTCAATGATCTGCTCAGGTCCCTTCCGACCCTATGAACTATGAACATGTAATAAACATTATAGAAATCTTTCAAACATATTTTTAAAACCTTATCCATTGATTTCATTCTGCCCCTCCTGCCCTTTTTTTCACTTCAGTTATAAAGGTTTTGTGTATCTTCAGGATTTTTAAAGTTTTTTTTCCACAGATTTTTTTTCCTAAATACATTTGTGTTTCAGTTGAAAATGGACTGATCTGAGGCCATTAGATGTGCAACTCCCTGAAATCTGAGAGCACCAAATTCAGAGTTAATTTTGGTGACTTGGGCACACATTCGCCTTTTAAAAGATATGTCAAGGATAGCTGGAGCATATGGAAAGGCAACTTTTGTATATTTGCATGCATCTAAATGCATAAATTTAAATAGTAAGTGGGCGCATCTACACATGCAATTAATGCGACTGAATATATACTGGGTCAATTTGAGCCAAAGTAAACTAATCCTGATGTCATTGTCTACACATGCATTTAAGCTCAGTAATTTACTGTGCTGCCAGACACCACTGATTTATCTGGCAGCACAGTAAATTCGTCTACTGTATCCTAATTGCTGTGCACATGTAGACGGTGACAAATTCGTCTGCTGCACAGTAAGGCACTTGAGGTAGATGCTCCCAGTGAGAATAAATATAACAGCCATAGGTGCTATGTTGTTCCAAATATAAGGTAGAGAACATGCTCTCTGGAGAAATGTTGCTTGATAAGCAGTGCTGCTGTTACCAAGGTGTTGCTGCAAAGAAGCATCAGTTGTAATAGATAATTATAAGGTAGTCTTTAGGAGTGATGGTTTATTTGTTCACTTGCATCTCTTTAAGGAGATATATTATATCTAACAGTTTCTTCCAATTTCTGTTTCTGCCAAGAGCAATGAAAAATTATAGAGGCTGTCAAAAAATTAAGACAAATCAATAAAAGCTTTTTAACCTAAAGATCCCATTTGGCAATTAATTGATGAGTATATATTACTAGACGACAGTTTCAGGGACCTAGACCTGATATTCTCAGAACATTGACCTTCTCAAATACCCTGAAGAGTTGACACTTCGTATATTCAAGTTCTTCCAGATTGTTGTCAAACCCAGCTTCAGTGTGATTAGCACTACAAACAGGATATAACAAGAAGTGTTTGCTGATCAAGCCTTTGGGTTCCTATACCCATGCAGGGAGGCTGCTCCGATGCACTATAATTACAGCGCGTCAGAGCAGACTCAATCAAGTCTGCTGTAGCATAGTAAACCAGCAAATTCCAATGTCACATGTATCAGTATCCCCACACTGAAAAATGACAGCAGGGTTCTTCATCTCATTCGATGAGCTTTAGTTCAAAGTGCCCTGCAACCATTTTTCAGTGTGTGGACGCTGATATATGTGATGCTCTGGGAGCTTTTAATTAGCATGGTTCTCGGAGATGAGCTAATTAAAGCGCCTTTCCCACCCTGCCTCCCAAAGTATGTCAATTCTAAACTCATCTGGGCAGTGTCTGTGCACTTGTCACATTGCTACGGTGCTAAAAATGAGTTTCTTACTTGAAAGTGGAGAAATAAACAAATTTGCCTAGTGGCATACCAAAATCTTTTGACATACAGCAAGTTTGCAAATAGTTATGGGGTATGAAAACAAAGCACTTAAAAAAGAATGTGGGATTTTGGAGCTGTTGCTGTTTTGTTGTTCATTCATCTTGAGTGATTAATAGGTTACTTTTTGTCATCTTTTTTTTAATTAGGTTTTCTGGGGTCAAGAACATTTGAATTGTTTAGTTCTTCTCCATGAACTTCTGCAAGGATACCTGACTAAAGAGGGCAGAATGGAGACATTGACTTCATGTCAAACATACCAGACTTACTCTCCTGCAGAGAGAAATCAGGTCTCAAAAACTGAGCATACCTCTGATGATCTGAGAACTGGCCTGTTCCAGTACATACAAGATGAAGGTAGGAAAAGGATTATTACTGGGGGGTTTTAATTACAAATAAATACAGTAGTAAAATATTGAAGATAACCTACCCATTGCAATTAAGTTTTTGATTTTGTTCTTAAAGCAATTGAGAAAACATCTGCTATAAAGGAAAATACCTTTTGATTTCATTCCATTAAGCTGTAATCTCTTAAAAGTCAGGGAAACTGCTGTTTTATTTTCTCTCCTTTTGATCCTAAGAGGTTTGTTTTTAATGACTTTCATTTTATAACCCAGCATGTTCTCTTTTAGAAATTACATAACAGATTATAGCTGTCTTTCTTTTGACAGAAGCACAGAAACTGCCTGGTGCCTATGAAGTTGTGTTTTACAATGAAACTGAGGATAGTCCAGGAATGATGTTATGGAGATATCCAGAACCCAGAGTACTCACCCTTGTAAGAATAAATCCTGTTCCTTTTAATACCACTGAAGACCCAGATATTAGCACAGCAGACCTTGGAGATGTTCTTCAGGTTGGTAATGGGGAATTTTTACTTTCGTTATTAGAAGAGAATGCTGTTGTTATAATTTTGATCAGTATTTTAGAAATTGCCATTAGTAAGACTGTGCACAAACTAAACACCAGGAGCCCAGTAAAATCCACAGGAGGTGAATTTTGCTACTTGAACACATCTCTAACTGAAAGTGGCTCAAGCAGTGGTTTATCTGTGGAGGTTTTTCCACAGTGTATATCAACTGTATGTGTGTGAAATTTTTTATTTCGGTTCACATGTCTTTTGAGCTCTGAGCTTTGCTTTGAGCACTTGATTTAAATGAACCTTAAAAATATCGAGGGAAATTTAGCCAAAAATATCAGGTTCTTCATGGTTTCACATGGAAGCCACAAAGCTGCTGACTGTTATATACTTTCTGTCTGAAACCATAAGCTGGGACCTCTTCTTACCAGCTGGTTTCTTTTTGTCTTTTCTATTTGCTAGGGAGTTGGGGACCTGGAATCCCCCTCCTGCCAGCACCTTCACTGTCTTTCTTGGCAGATGGCTGTCCCTCTTTTCTGAGGTTTTTAGGAAAGAATATCAGCTTTCTTTCCATCATCTTGCTTTGGGGAGAAATCGTAAGGTCAATCATACTGACCAGTCCCTATAACTCCCTTACATGGAAGTGTTGTCTGCTACCCACTGTTCAGCTGGAGTGTGTCTGCATGCCCCAGTAGTGGTCTTACTTCTGCCAACTACACTGGTCTTTCATTATTTATGAGCATCATTGTTGCTCCCCAAAATATAAATCCTGGTATTTTATACTCTCTGTAATCTAGTATAATTCATCTTTATTGTTTCCCTTATTCCCTACATTTCTATATTGTTTTTTAGTTACTTTAATAAGTTCATTATTATTTTTATTCTTATTTTTATTCTCTTTTAATGAAAGCTGAGTTTATCTTTTTAATTCAGATTGGTGTATTATTCTGATATAGAAGCGTGTTGCAAATTTACATTAATTAAACTCTCTACCCAGTCAGAAGGATTGAATTTTAATTCATATTGTTATAACTATTATAAATGTATTTGGGTTTTAAGAATTTAATTGAGAATCAGTATGCATCAAGTTATGGATCAGTAAGGTAATCCTTCACATATTCAGTGTAATGACATTCTATTATGGATATAATGTTATTGAAATCATTGAGGTGCCGTGCCAATTCGTTTTGCACTCTAGAGAGGCAAATTCCAACTCAAATCACTTGTACAGTAGTGAAAAATTAAATAAATCAATTAATCTTAGCCTGAGGTCCAATTTGAAAGAGTTGTTAGTGTTACGATGCTCGTTTCTGATGACTCTGTTAGGTTTAGATGAAAACTAACAATTCACAGACTTTAAAGACTACATTTTCAAAACAAAGTTCAACAAAAAAATTCTTTGTAAATTATATTACACTCCCATTATATTTAATGGGCTTTCTGGACAGAATTAAACTTACACTCTTTAATAATGTATCACTGTGTAATTACATAGATTCTTGTTTCAGGGTACATCATTGTGGATCCCACTGTAGATCTCAACTTCATGTATGCAGGAGTGGAGGGGTTTTTTAAACAACAAGAATCTTACACCTTGTGTTTCCTGTAACTCTATTCATTGCAACAAAATTGAATCTAGCAGGTGCCCACCCCATTAGTTCTTAACTGCAGCTAAACTTCTACTAGGCTTCAAGAAGTTCTTCAAAACTACTTCTGATCTTCTGTATTGGACAACATCAGGGCTGGGGACAAAAGTTATACATAAACCAGTTTGTAATCAGAAACTGGTTTAAACCTGTAACAGAATAGAAGTTCTCTGCACATAAACCAGTTTCAAAATGGCTGAAACTGGTTTAAGATAAATTTGGTTGAGTTTAGTATCACACTTAACTTGTTTAGATCAAACCAGTTTATGGAAATTCTGTCCCAGACCCCTCCCTCGTTCATGTTAAATCACAGTCCTCCAGCATCCCAGGATGCTTCGCAGCCCTGGGCTGGGCTGGGCTCTCTGCTCCAGGAGAACAGGTTTGGCCCAGCCCCTCTGCTCTCTAGCCGGAGCAGTGAGGGCTGGCTGATGGGGACAGGGGTGGAAAACCCAACTGGGGACACAGCCCGGCTTGCCTGGTGGGGGCAGAGCAGCCCCTGCCAGACTTTTCACTTGGTGGAGTGGAGGCTCCCCCCTGAGCCTTCCCCCTAGCTCAGGCAAAGAGGAGGGAGGAGGGTTTAAACCCCCTGCATGGCCCATGGGACCCCAAGCTGGGTCTGCGTGGTAGGAAACTGCCACACTTCTGCCCACTCTTCACCCCACTCCCCACTTGAGCAGGGGAGAGGGTAGCACCTGCCACAGACTTCTCTCTTTCTCTCCCCCCATCCCTCCCCCCAGAGCAAAGAGCACGGGGTATGGCCACACGCTGGCCTGAGCAGGCAGGCTGAGTCATGGAAGGGGGGGGACTTAACCCCTCCTCCCCCAGCTCTGGACCCCAGCCAAGGTTTGCCCGGGGAGGGGGCAGTCCCTCCCAAGCTTTTGCATCCCGTCCCCCCCACTACACACTCCCTGCTTAGGCCGTGAGCAAGGGGCATGGCCACACCCCAGCCAGGGCTGGCAGAGTGAGGCAGATAGGGGGTTTAATCCCCTCTCCCTCCCCTTTCCCACTTGCATGGGACCCCAGCTGGTCCTGTCAGACATTTCCCTCTGTTTGCTGCTCAAGCAGCAGTAGCCATGGCCAGATGCTGGCCCTGGCAGCAGCCTGAGGCAAAGTGAGGGGAGGGAGGTTTAATCCTCCTCCCTCCCCTCTTCCACTGGCATGGGACCTCAGCCAGGGTCTGGCTGACAGGTCCCATGCCATTTGGAAAGGGGAGGAAGGCGGAATTAAACCTCCCTCCCACCCCAGTGGGGAAGGGGAGGGAAGAAGGGTTAAACCCCCTCCCTCACCCTCTTTACCTCAGGCTGCTGCCCAGAACCAGCATCTGGCCACACTCCCTGCCACTCAAGCAGCAAGGGGTGGGGGCTGGGGGAATGCCTAGCAGGGGCTGCTTCCCCTCTTCCCTGTCCAGGCATACCCTGCCTGAGGACCATGCAGGCCAGGGTGGGGGTTTAAACCCCTCCCCAATCATTCTCAGCAACCTGCTGGGGCCTATCCATGCTGCACTCCCCCTCACCTCACCCCCCCCCCCCCCCACAAGCTCAGATTCCTTCCAGCCTTCTGGCCACTGCCAAAGGGAAAGGAGGGCTTGCTGTAACGCCCCCAAGCTTCTAGCCTGAGCCACTGCAGGTATGTGGTTGCATTTCCAGAATCAAAAATGAATGTCTATTCACTTGCTTCTCGGTTTAATCTATTCAGGTTAGACTAACCTGTAACAATTGAATTGATTCAGGCTCAGGCTTTTTGAATGTCTGTACTTAGCCCAGCTGTTTCCATCTATCTGTTCTTGACTAATCCAGCATACGGGACCTGTTATCATAAATAGATTAAGCGTTGCTGAGTGAAAGTCTGTGCCTTTAAAGTCTAATCGCTCTAAACAATAAGTTAGCCCTGCTGAGAACTTGTTGATCAGGGGGCTGGGCTATGTTACCTCGGCATCAAAGTCACCTGGCAAGGTTCTGACCACCTGATTGGAAGGTAATTAGGGAGTCACTTGATAGAGGGAGTGAAAAGCTGCAAAGGAGTAGAAGGCAAGCAATTCATTCTCTTCTGCCATGTTCAGTAGCAGAGGTGGAGCTACCTGCTCCAGGAGCCTAATGAGATAGGGAGAATGCCTGCCCCCTGCAACATAGATGGACCAACAGAGACTCCTAGGGAGGGGTAACCTGCATTGTAAGTAAGGGGTATGCTGTAAGTAAGAAGCATTGGGCCTTGTAGGTTTGTGGTTTTTCTAAAGAACTATAACTTCTCATGCTTTAAGTATAGAAATGGCATGATCCAAAACACTGCAAATCCTTTGCATATTGTTATGTGTTTAGTTACATCTGTTGCATGCTTTCTGAAGAATTAAACTGTAAATGAGAAGCCTCACACCATTGGTGGGATTCTGGAATAGAGTGTGTTTACACAACACTGGGAGTCTAAAGAATCAGGACTGGACCTTAAGAAAGGTAATGGACCTGTGAGTTCCAGCTCTCAGAAACATCCCAAGTGGATAGGAGCATGTGCCTCCTGAAACTGAGCTTAGAAGCCCCAAAACTGAGGAGCAGTGCCTAGAATCTGTTTAGACTCAAGAGGTTTAAAACACCTTACAATCCAGGGGCAGGTTCCCTAATATCAGCATGGTGAGCAGTCATTGCATTTGCCCAGAGCTTTGTTTTATTACTTTAACAGGAAAGTCTTTCAGGATGTCTTCCTGGTTCTTTTCAGCCTTATCCAGCTTTTCATTCTCACTGTCCAGGAGAGATACTTGCTTGCCTGTCGCCCACAGCACAGTAATGCTGTAATTCATACCCAAAGAAAACTGAGTAATTGTGGTTCCTCAAGATATTTCAGTCATTTTGGATCCCATGGCCTGCTCTCCATCTTTGCTTTTCAAGAGTCCTCAGCAGCATGACCTTTAAATCATGAGGGAATTTAAAGTGATTTCACCCCTTATGCTCTCATATGGGAGCACAAGAATGCACTGGTGGCCCTAGTTGGCACTGCTGTTCAAAAAAAACTCAGGTGTTGTGTGCATGATGCACATACTCACCTGCAATATGAGCCACACTGACTATGACCTCTTGGAGAGCCAGGTTCTCAAAGGTAAGTAACCATTTTAAATATGAGAGTATTTACTTTTTTAATAGAATAATACTGCTTTGCAGATGGTTTATTTTCAAGTTGTGTAAATCACTCATTTCAACATAGTTTATCTGAAATGTATTGGATTAGGTGGAGGAGGAGACTTGCTTTGTAGATAAAATTTTATTTTAGATATCTTCCAAAAAAAATCTTTCTACAATGTATACAAAGGTCCCCCTCCTCCTCTTCATTTATGTTTCTTTGTTTTTCATTTACTATATTTACTAA